GGAGGTAATCTTTTTAAATTGTTTAATAGCATCTCGTACATTGGGTGAGGTGATGTCAGAGAAGCATCTAAACTTGAATCTCTAGCTCCAGCCATCTGCTGGCTACAGAACCATGGATGGGTTTCTACATTTCTCTGGGCTTCAGTCCCCTGATACTAATGACTATCCTAAAGAAGTACTCTGAGGATTTCGTGGAAGAAAGTTTCTAAAGAATGGCAGATCATACATGCTCTACATAGATGTTTCTCTTCATTGGTCCTCTGTTCCCTTCCAAACTGCTTACAAAAAGAAAAAAAAAAAAACAACCAACCAGTTGCCATCAAGTTGGCTCTGACTCATAGCACCCATGTGTATCAGAGTAGAGTTTGCAATGGCTGATTTTTTTTTTTAAGTACATCACCATGCCTTTTCTTCTAAGGATGGAGTCAAACCTTCAACCTTTCAGTCAGCAGCCAAACACAGTGTTTGTACTACACGGGCTATGGAGAGTTGTGGGCCATGCACCATTCATAAATCTTCCACCCTGAAGTGATAGCTGTCTTTTCAAACATTTGATAGGCCACATAGCACTTAAAGGGCATGGAAGTACAAATCTTCCTTGTGCTCAGATGAGGAGGAAGTATTTCAGGATAGCATTAATAAATACCATCCACTGTCATCAAGTCAATTCCAACTCATAGCGACCCTACAGGGCAAAGTAGAACTGCCCCCACAGAGTTTCCCAGACTGTAAATTTTTATGGAATCACACAGCCTCATCTTTCGCCCACAGAGCAGCTAGTGTCTTTTTTTTTTTTTTTTAAGTTGTGATTTGAGTGATGGTTTACCTGGGAGAACATTGGTTTTGCACTCATCCTATTGTATTGGTTTAATTGCAATGGTTATAATCCCCTGTATTCACATCATTTAACAGTATTTCCTTCTATTCCCTCTATTTTTGTTTGTTTGTTTTTTGATGTATTCAAAAACACTCAGGAACATAAAATCATTTAAACAACCAAAGGGCACATTCTGCAAGCCAGCGTCCTGGCTGCCAGCACACAGCCTTTCTCTTTCCATGAGTCTAGAGTCCCCAGCTCTCCCTCTCTCCATGCCCTCATCTCTGCCTCCGTCTCTGGTGTCACTGCTTCTCTGGTTAGGGTCCCACGTTCCACTCATACTCTTCTCCCTTGATGGTACTAAGGTTCTCTGTTCCTGAAATGTAAGATTAACTACTCTCCCCTTTATGTTACATAACTTCTACCTTTACAGTTGTGACAATCGCAGTTAGTCTTGATCACAGTTATTTACTATTGAATCAAGAGTCCTATCCCCATCTCCTTTCATCAGACTCATTTAGACAAGATGAAAACTATTCAGTAGAGATTCTGCCTTCCCCACACACTCTGAAATTAGACTCCTTCATGAAAATTCGTAAGCCAGCCACTTCATGCCTTTATAACCCCTCCCATTTTAGGTAGCCAATGCCTGGTTTTCCCGTCCCTATCACCCCTGTGTGGAGCTGTGGGCTAATGCATCAGACTGCAAAGTCATTTGAACTGCAAGTTCGGTGGTTCAAGCTCACCAACTGCTCCTTGGAAACATTATACAGGGTCGCTATGGGTCAGAGTCGACTCAACAGCACTTAACAACAACAACAATACCAACCCTGTATCAGAGTCCTGGTGTGGCGCTCTGGGTTAATGCACCAGACTGCAAAGCCATTTGAACTACAAAGTCAGTGATTCAAACTCCTCAGAGCCCTATGCAGGGTCACTATGAGTCGGAACCAACTCAACAACATTTAACAACAACAATCAACCCTGTATACCAAGGGGATAGACTTGATCCTTGACATGAAGACTCTTTCCCTCTCAGTTGGTATTTTCAGATCTACATCCATAAGTATAGGTCAAGTTCATCAAATTGTAGCAAGTTACATTTGCTTCCTTTATCAAATTTCTTTATCTTACTCTAGTCAAACTCTAGTCAGTAAGGCCAAATGGGTACAATCTGCAAGTTTGGGTGTACTTCGTATCAGCTGGATGCGTCACTCTCAGCAGCTGGTGTTTGAACCACAGACCTTGAAGTTAGCGGCCCAATGCTTAACCCACACTGTGCCAGCTGATCTCCTTAATCCATAAAGTCACCCTGTTGTTAGGTGCCGTCAAGTCCATTCTGACTCATAGTGACCCTGTGCACACCAGAATGAAACACTTCCTGGTCCTGTGCCATCCTCACAGTCGTTGTTATGCTTCAGCCCATTGCTGCTGCCACTGTGCCAATCCATCTTGTTGGGGGGTCTTCCTATTTTTCATGGACTCTCCACTTTATTACACACGATGTCCTTCTACAGGGACTGGTCCCTTCTGATAACATGTTCAAATTATGAGACATGAAGTCTGGCCTTCCTGTATTCTAAGGACCATTTTGCGGATACTTCTGCCAACACAGAACTATCTGTTCTTCTGGAAGCCCATGGTAACTTCAATATTCTTCTCCAACACCACACTCAAATGCATCAATTCTTATACGGTCTTCCTTATTTATTGTTCAGCTTTCACATGCATATGAAGTTACTGAAAATACCATGGCTTCGGTTATGCATACTTCAGTCTCCAAATACATCTCTTTACTCTTGAACACTTTAAAGAGGTAGATTTGCCTAATGGAATACATCATTTGATTTTTTGACTGCTGCTTCCATGAGTATTGATAGTAGGTACAAGAAAAATGAAGTCTTTGATATCTTCAATCTTTTCCCTGCTTATCATAATGTTATTTATTGGTCCAGTTGTGAGGATTTTGTTTTTTTTACATTGAGGTGCAATCCATATTATATTAAAGGCTGTGGTCTTTGTTC